GAAAAAGGGGCTCCCTGCCCTTCAACTTGGATTGACGCAAAGATGGGCCTGGAGAGAAAGGAGGCAGTTGCCTGCCCCCGCTCCCAGCCATATCCAGCTTTTGGATGCCTGACTGGTTTCAGAAGGTGTCTCAAACCCTAAGGGAGCCCAGAGGCCTGGAGCTATGCAGTCCACGCAGACCTAGCTTAGCCCAGGGAGCTAGGAAATGCAGGTCATCCATATGCGGCCTGGAACACATCTTAATGGGACAGAATCAGGAGTGTTCCCCATTTTCCTTAACTGTCCTGTCACTGCAATCTAGTGTCTTGGGTCATTTCTGCAGGGCAACATCTCTGCTGGGTTAGATTTTGGAAGCTGGTTTAATTAGGTTTGGGGTTTAGTCTATCCTCACCTACCTTACAAAACCACCTAAGACCTTCTGGACTTGGGCTCACTCTGAAGTTCACGACCTACCTCCTCCACACCCATTGTACCCAACTGGGAGTAGGGGACGGAATCCCCAGCTCTGTGGAAGGAGAGCCAAGGAGCCAGGCCCTTTGGGGACAGAGTTTGGAGGCAGCCGGAACCTCAGTTCTCTATAAAACTGGATCATGGCTGCCTCAGCCTTTTTTCTCTTTTGGATTCACTTCATGGGCAGAGACCTTTGAAGAGCTTGGCCAAGGCTGCCTTTCAACAGAAAAAAAAGCCCTTTTAGAGTGGTGCCGTTTGCAGTTGCCTGGGCAGTGGCTGGCTGGCTTGTGGGTTGAAGATCACCATGTCTCTGAGGGCTCAGGGTCTAGACACAGGGGTCGGAGAAGCACCGAGCGGCAGCCAGCCACAGGCAAGAACTTTGAGCTTCCTCTTGGCTGGCCTGGGAAAGGGCAGCAAGCGTCTCATCCCCATGGTCCCTGTGAGGTCACCAGGAATAGGTCAGATCAGATTGGCAGGGTCATCGGAATTCCAGGGAGCAGGGAAAGCACATTCCTGCTTGTAGCCCTCCTCCTGGGACAGCCCGAGTGCCCACCAGCTGTGCTGCACACCCTTTGCAGAACCAGAACCTGGGACCAGAATATTCAAGCCACCTATGCAGGTTCTCTCTCTCTCTCTCTCTCTCTCTCTCTCTCTCTCTCTCTCTGACCTCAAGAAAGCATTTCTTGGAGTTTTGTTCCAATTTTCCAGCCAGGGCCCCTCTGTGCAGTACCTAGCCTCCCTCTCAGTCTGTGGTGTAGGAGGAGCTCCTTACCCACCATGCATTGGGATCCATGAGCAGACAATAGAGGATGGGAAAGGTCTACCTTACTTTGAGCTGAAACTGACCACCTCAAGGTGGGTGGTTACTTTTCACCCTCCCATTAGCCTTTATATTCCTTTAGGACCTTAGCTGAGAGGGCCAGGGGTGGAGACGACCAGGGTCCACTTGAATGAGAGAGCCCCTTCTGAATTCAGTTCTTCAACCAGACATTTGAAAGTCTGAGAGAAATTCTGGGATAAGATCATGTAGATCGGGCTGCACAACCTCATTCCTGATACAACCAGAAAGTGTCCACTTATTTTGGCCTCAACTCTAGGAAATTAGAGGATCACAATTTTTTTTTTTTTTTTTTTTTTTTTTTTTTTTTGTCTTTTTGAAGCAGGGTCTTCCTGTAGCCCCAGCTGTCCTGGAACTCACTATGTAGACCAGGCTGGCCTTGAACTCACAGAGATCCGCCTGCCTCTGCCTCCCAAGTGCTGGGACTACAGGCGTGCGCCACCACGCCCGGCTTGAGGATCACAATTTTTAATTTTTGTTCTTGTGCAAAAGTTACACATAATACACACGCACATGCACACACATACACACACATACGTGCGTGTGCGTGCACACACAAAATCTCTGTTTTATTCAGCTCTGGTCCAAACCAGATTACCAGGAATTTTAAGAGTGGGAAAGCTTTGATTAGAATCACATTCTAATAATGAATCCGGGGACTGGGTATATAGCTCAGGGGTAGAGCACGTGTCCCACATGGCCAAGGCTCTAGTTAGCTCTCCAGCACCAACAAAACAGAACAAAACCAAAGAAAAAAAATCCAGCCAGAATAATAAGTCTGTGTTTGGGTCGCTTTCTGTTGGGGTTGATTTGGTGGGAACATGGCCGCTGTCCAAGGGGACCCCCTGTTTGACTCAAATGTGTGATGCTGGGCAGAGCCGAGAGCCCATAGCTGAGGTATGAATGGGTGAGCCCTGGACGACCTGGCTGGCTGTGGCCTTCTTCGTCCTGTGTGAGCAACTGACGGAGAACCCTTTCCACTGTGTGATGTCCATCCTCTGCTGGGCCGAAAACCACTCGATGAGCGCCTTGAATTCTTCATGCAGTACATCTTGCACTTGGTGGCATCGTTGAGAGGGACCAGGAAGGGAGACAGTAACTTTGGGGCTGTTGCCCCTCAGTGAGCAGCTACAAGGGTGTCTGGCCACTGGTTTTTGGTGAGGTTGTGAGAAACGGATTGGCAACTGGTGCATTCTTCTGCGATTTGCAAGGGCCTGAGTATGCTCTGGCTTTGGGTCTGGTTGGTGGTTGTGTGGAGCAGAGCACTGTACACAGGGATCGTGTGGCCAAGTGGGACTCCAGAATGCTCCAAGCTCAACGCTTGTTAGTTTGCCTGCCAGAGGGTTTTGGTTCTGAGATTTCGGTCCCTCTAGATCCCTGAAGGGTGCAGGGTCTGAGCCCAGGTCCCAGCCACACCCTGGATTTGCTGGCCTTGCTCCTGAACATGAGCTCTGGATTCTTAAGAGTGACAACCAGGGGGAGCGGAGCACAGACTGGATGAGGAAAGACAGATATCCCCGGTGCCAGGAGGTTGATCTGTGAAGAACTCAAACCCCACAGTCTTTCTCACCTGCAGATAACTGGAATTGGAAAAAAGAAAAGAAAAAAGAAAAAGCAAAACAGCCCAGGGCCAATGGGAGAGGGTGACGGAGAGCAGCCATGAAAGTGACAAACAATAAGATTCCCAAGGTATTAATTACTCTGTATTACAAAAGAAGAAATTAGACTCAGTTGCCCTATTATAAATATACTAAAAATACATATGTATATATATTTTATCTGAACAGAAAAATAGACTACTCTGAGGTGGGTGGACATCCAAGGATATAGTCACATCAGATACCTTCTAGAGCCAGGAAAATGGCAACCGGAAAATGCAAAAGGAACTCATTTCTGGGTGTTTCTGGGGCTGGTTTGGGTGGCACAGGCTGGGTGACAGGAACACTCTCGGGAGCTGTCATCTAAATATCAGTAGGCCTCGGGTTGGAGTGTTCCACTGAGGATTCAGGAACCCCCTCTTTCTCCTGACAACTGTCAACATTGAAGTTACACACACATACACACACACACACACACTCACACCCCCCACATGAATATGCCTCTGAAGGAACATGTCCTGGAGGCTTTAATGTGCCCTTCTTGGATTCAAAATCACTTGACATTGAAAAGCCTGCGGTTACATTACTTCAGACTAGTTGGCAAAGAAGGAAAAGAGAGATATTTATATACAGAGAGAGAAACCTGGCTTTGGGGGCCCTTGTCTGTGGTGAATCATAAATATCCCCTTGTTCCTGGACTAGACATTCTGGCCATGACCACAGAGAGACAAGTACACAGTGGTCATAAATGTCAACAACACATCACAGTTGTATTGAAGAGAATACAGTTAAGTTTCGTTTTTTTCTCCTTAGAAATGTGGATCTTATCAGAAAGGGCAGAGACAAATCTGCAGCTACAGAACACGGTGGAGGGGAAGAGAAGGCAAGATGGGCGAGCGGAGTGGGCCGGAGGGAGTGGCTTCCTCCTGATTTTGGTATTTCCTCTTCATTATTTCCCCCTTCTTTCTAGACCCAGTCTTTTTAGGGAGGTGCCATGGACACAAACGTCCCCTCCTCTTTATTTTTTTTCTTTTTCCTTCAAATGTGCTGCAGATGGGATCCCAGAGAAGACAGTAAGGACTCTGCAGCCCCAGGCTGGTTGGTGATTCCCAAGGACAAGGTGAGTGAACGGGCCAGGCTTTCCCAGTGTGATGGGCACACACAGCTGCCTGGTCCCTGGCCCTTTCAGGTGACAGTGTTAGAAGTCCAGCTGAGTTTTTGACAGTTGTATAGAGTTCCTAAAAGGATCCCACCGCCTCCAGCCCCCAGCATATTTGGTTTGTGGTATTCTGCTTCCTTTCCCTCTGGTTGGTTCAGGAAAGGCAGGCATAGACCACCGAGTTCAAGCAGCCTCTGACTTCATGCCTTGACTTCTATCTTCTCTATGGAGACACATCTGTTAAGTTCAGCTTCGCCTTGGGGACCTTTTCACAGACTTCCCAGTGATGAACACAGGTACACGAGTAATACAAATCTCTGCATGTACCTTTTTAGCCAGTGAGGAGTGCTGGGGAAACTGACAATATTCTAACTTGAGTTGCATGTGGGGGTGGGGTGGGGGCTATAGTCTCACAGTACATACACACAAGTAAAAGAAAAACAAAAATCAAACCCAAATGCAAAACTTTTTAAGCATAGTATATGCTGAATGTCAAAGGCTCTGTTTCTATAAGAACTCTGTAGACTCTGGTTAAGCTTGAAAAGGTAGTTCTAGAAGATACTTCTGAATTCATCTTTCAGAAGTGACTCAGTAAAATGCTACTTTAAGGTCAGATAAAACAAAGGAGGAAGGGACAGCCAGGTCCTACGTGATGCAAGGTAAAGGGGCCTTTGGTTATCAGGACAGCCGTACCAAAGTCGCTTTAGAAAGAAAGAAAGAGAGAGAGAGAGAGAGAGAGAGAGAGAGAGAGAGAG